AAATTTTTTTTTTTTTTTTTTTTTTTTTTTTTTTTTTTTTTTTTTAATAAAAAAAAACAATCTTTTAAACGTATTCATCCAATATTATTTCTTAATTTAATAAAATATACCAATAAATTTTGTATTTTGTTTCAAAAAAAAAAAATTAAATTAAATTTTAAAATATTTTAATAATAATTCTTAAAAAATTTTATAAAAAAAAAAAATCAATTAAAAAATTCTTACTATTGGTTGGGAGTGAAAATGAATTAAAAGATTTAAGAACCCTCCCGACATTCAAAAGTGTTTAAAATGCGTTCGAGTTGTCAAAAATTTCATTATAACCTTATAAAACTAATAACATTAAGCTTCGAAGTAATAATTAACTTAAAAAAATAATATTATGCTCAAAGTGAACACTATCATACTATTGTGAAGAGTCGTGTTCATGTAACATGGTATCAAAGTCATGCCCTAAACTTAGTCAATGTGGGACTTTCATCGAGGCTCGACTCCTTTTCTCTTGGAGTCCTTTGTTCAACATTTAAGGATTTATCAATCCATTGGCACGACTAAGTTTAGGGCATGACTTTGATACCATGTTTGACGAACACGACTCTCCACAATGGTATAATATTGTCTAGTTTGAACATAAGCTCTCATGGCTTTGCTTTGAGGCCGAATTTTTTTTTTTTAACTTTTTACTGTTTGTATCTCTTAAAATTAAATATGAGCTGTAAATAGATTATTTTCATCCATAAAAGGATGGTAACAAAGGTTAAAGATATTAATACTAATTGTAAAAGTTCAAAAGTAATAGTTGTCCCGTGTATTTGTTCTTAATAAGAATTTTTTAAACAATTGATTTCATTCTTTTTTAGAATAGACACTGAAGAGTTGATGAAGAAAGCAGAGACAATAAAAGCGACGGGAGGGAAACGATGCAGCAAAACAAGTAGCCAATCATCAAAAGTGAGAAAGAACGACGGATCTCTGTTCGTCGGAGCATTTTGCCAATCCAACGTCGGCGATGTCACGCCCAACGTTCTTGGAGCCTTTTGCACCGATTCCGGCAAGCCCTGCGATTTCAATCGCTCCTCCTGCCATGGCAGTGATCTTCTATGCGTGGGGCGTGGGCCTGGGTAAGCTACCTACAACAATTTCTATCTTTCTTTCTATCAATCAAGCTTTTGCACGTCAAGTGTTTGAGAAAATGCCACACAGGTTTCCAGATGAAATTCTAAGCACAAAGATCATTGGGGAGAGGCAGTTCTTGAAAGCGGTTAATTTGTTCACAACAGCAACGGAGAAACTAAGTGGGGAGATTGATTTTCGCCATGTGTATCTGAATTTCACGGATATTGAAGTGGAATTGGATGGGGATAATGTTGTCAAGACATGTCCAGCTGCTCTTGGCCCTGGTTTTGCTGCTGGAACTACGGATGGCCATGGTGTTTTTGGCTTTCAACAGGGTGATACTCAGGTCAGTACAATGCGTAATGGGCTGAATCTTTGCCTTTTTCTTTTGTCATCCTTGGAAATTTTTTGATTTTGTTACAGATCAATAAGTTGTGGAAGAAGTTGCGAGATTCATTGAGGAAACCCAGTGAGTTTCAGGTTGGGTGTCAGAAGCCGAAGACGGTTTTGTTGGACACCGGCGAGATGTTCGAACCTTATGCTTGGGCGGTAAGAAAGAAATAGTTTGGCTTAAATCAAACATTTTTGTTTGCTTGGCTTCATTAAGTTTATAGCTCACCTATCCATTCCTTGTTTCGTATCGTGCCAAATTATTGTTTGTTAGTCAAAACAATCTATCACACGTGTTAAAATTGCACAACATAAACACTCGATTTAGATGAACATATAGAATAGGAGAGAGAATATGCAAGGAGAAATCCTAGAAAACATATTGATGACTTCAAGTATGTATAGAAACAGAGAATACAGATAATGTAGAAAGTACATCCTCAAAGCACTGCCTAAGCGGTATATATATGGTTCAATTTACTATATATAGTCGTCTATAATCCTGTGAGATCCCACATTGGTTGGAGAAGAGAACGAAATATTGCTTATAAGGATATGGAAACCTCTCCCTAATTGACGTTTTAAAACCTTGAGGGGAAGCCCTTAAAGGGAAAGCCCAAAAAGGACAATATCTGCTAACGGTGAGTTTGTGCTGTTACAAATGGTATCAAAGCTAGACACCGGGTGGTGTGCCAGTGAGGATACTAAGCTCCCAAGAAGGTGGATTGTGAGATCCCTCATCGGTTGGAGAGGAGAACAAAACATTCATTATAAGGGTATGGAAACCTCTCCCTAATAAATGCGTTTTAAAATCATGAGAGAAATCCCAAAGAGGATAATATCTACTAAGGGTGGGTTTGGGTATATATTCCAAGCCCTGCCTAAAGGATATATATACAATTTAGTTTACTATATATAGTTTTGATAGATATAGTCGTTTATAAGGTAGAAAGTAATCTTCAAGTCACTTACTAAGGTATATATATGGTTCAGTTTACCATATACAAATATATTATATAGCCATTTAGTACACATTGTTATTTATTAGGTATATCATTTATCATACGTACTTTTAAATAAAGACTCCATGACTTAAAATTTTTGTTAGAATCAGAATGGAAGTTCTTAAACTTTTGTACATGAACATAACTTACAAGATAAGCGAAGCCATGGATGTGGTGAGCAAAAATGCTTAATGTAATTGATTGCAAACTTTGACGGGTGAATCTGCAGCCAGCAATTCTTCCAATTCAAATTCTCAGGCTAGGAAAACTGATCATACTCTCAGTACCAGGAGGTACAAATAGAAAACAAAGACCCTATCAATTCAAGTTTTTCACTCAGTGTAACATTATTAACCCTTTGGTTTTGCAGAGTTCACAACAATGGCGGGGCGACGACTAAGGGAAGCAGTAAAGGAAACTCTGATTAGCAATGGAAATGGAGAGTTTGATGATGATACCCACGTTGTGATTGCAGGGCTTACAAATGCATACTCCCAATATGTCGCTACTTTAGAAGAGTATGAACAACAACGATATGAAGTAAGCACTTAGAAGGCTAGTTTTTGTCTTACAATTCTTCCCAAGGCTGGTTTTTGTTTCATTCCATGTTCCCATGTTATCTTCAGGCTGCCTCAACTCTCTATGGACCACACACTCTATCAGCATATATTCAAGAGTTCAAGAAACTAGCAATAGCAATAGCCAAAGGTGAAAAGATTGCCAAGCCAATCGTCTCACCGCCAGACCTTTCCTCCGTCCAACTCCGATTCGTGTCAGACCCGTTCATAGAATCTCCACCGAACGGTGTCAACTTTGGAGACATTCAACAAGACATCAAATTACCAAAAGTTGGTTGGTTCAAAAGAGGGGGCAAACAGAAACCAACTGCCAGATTTTGGAGTGCAAACCCGAGATTCGATCTCTTGACCGAAGGGACCTATGCCGTGGTTGAAAGGCAAGAGAAACGGCGATGGACACCAGTTTATGATGACGATGATTTCTCCTTGGTTTTTAAATGGGCATTAGACAACAACACATTCACCAACAGCTTAGCAACTATCGAATGGGACATCCCAACAGACGCCAATCCAGGTGTGTATCGGTTACGACACTTCGGATCATCAAAGAGTGCAATAAACTCAACCAACATATATTTCACTGGGGCTTCTAGTGCATTTGTAGTGTCCTAAAGAAACATTAAGCTCTACCACAAATGGAGTTTGGAATAGTGTTAGTTTGGGGAGAAACAAGGCAGGAGATTGCTTCATTTGATCATCCAGATCACATTCCTAAGGCATTGGCCTTAACATAGCAAATTGAAAGCTTTGTTGATGTCTTCAAAGCCAATTTCATGTGAGATAAATAAATTCAGTTACAGTATCTGTCAAGTTCACATATTCCAAAATGAATTGCACAGTATAGAGGAACTCATGTATGTCAAAAACCAACAAAAAGACATGAATTTTGTCATATCTTATCGTAATCTCCTTGGTAAAAAACGTTTTTAAAAATTAGATTAGAACATTTTGACGTGGTTTATGTACCAATTTAGAATAAAGGCTAAATTATACAAAATCTTTAAATTTTGGGTAATGTTTTACTTGTACCCTCAAACTTTGAAAAGTTTCATTTTTACTCTAATAATTTTGAAAATTAATCCAAATTCCAATGTAGCAAGTTGAATGACATCTTGATACCTAGAGTCTCGATTGGATGAGATTGTAGATAAAGTCGAAGGAATTGATGTGGTGAACGCTCTAGTAGACTTGGTTTTTGTGTAAGAATTACAAATGAAGGTTGAGAACCTATAGAACAAACAAAGCTACAAGACTTATTGGCTTTGAACGTGAGGACAGCTCTATGAACTTTTTATTGTCCACATAGAGTAGTGCGTTCAAGAGTTATAGCTTCTAAAAAAAAACTATACTTGATTTGTTAGTGACCTTTCGGATGAGATGAGTTTCACTACTATTTTGATGGTGAAGGAAGAAATCACGAAGTTAAACAGGAGAGAATATTTCATTCATCATGAAAAAGTTCTCGAACAAGAGTTTCTTATTTCATATGAGTTTCATGCCACTATGAAAAAAATTTCAAAGAAGTATATTGGCCAGTTTAGAAATATAACTTCGAACAAATTTCTAAATCATGAACATAGCAATGAAGCAATCAAACATAATCCTATTGACGATGCATCTTATTAATGATGCAAAGGTATGGTTGAGATATCGATATAGAGATATTCAATATAGTTAGGCCCACTATAGATATATGGGACAAGCTAAAACAAGAACCTTGGTCCCATTTTTCCTTGAGAATGTCATAACTCAGCCAGATGCAAAGTTTTAGAGCCAAAACCCATTAGAAAAATTGGAGACTACATGAAGCAGTTCATTGAGTTCATATTAGACATTTGCAATATGAGAGAAACTAAATTAAATGAACAATGTTCAAGACCTCAACACAACTTATGTTATTACTGAAAGGTAGTTTTATCTCAACAATGGCCAACCCTAAGACCATAGAAGAAACCAAAGACTCTTCTAGCAGCTGCAAACAAGTTTGACAGATTAAGTTCCCTCAAAGTGAGGGAGAGAGAGACAGCATTAGCAGAGGAGGCAAAAGATCCCTACCAGAGAAATAGAGATTCATGTTAAAAATCGAACCAAATGATAACTTAGGGACCCTGTCCAGCTTCTTGGATAAGGGAGTTCAACGAGTTCATAAATGCTTTCACAAAGTAGCACTTGAGGCACTATAAAGCCTCAATAGCCACTAACCCCAAGAATGAGGTAGGAATTATTGAGATAAGGACTTTGACAGAGGAAGTCAATGAGAGTTCTTAAATGATGGGGGCATGGGTTCACACCACAAATAAAGCAGGGGAGTGAAGGACCTATAAGAGAGACTGCTTGTGCACGTAGAAGCTCATATCAATGCCCAAAAATACCATGATTGAATCTAGTGTGAATCACAATTTTACGATAAAAGCATGTACTTGTTACTGTCAAATATTTTTTTTATCAATACTAGAGAGATTAGTACTTCTGGGAACTAGATTTATAGTTCGAATACTATCAAACGTGTTATGCATAAAGAAACAAATCCAAGACAACATATGTTGCTCCTTATGGGGCTCTTGAGTTCCTTGTCTATCCATTGGCCGGATCAATGCCTCAACCACCCTCCACACTTTGATGAACCCAAAATTCCACATATCTAGTAGTGGTCTACTTGGAACATATATTAGTTTACCATAGTGAAAATTCGGTATAATTGTAACTAGTTTTTCAAAATTTAAGGGAGACATAGGTATATGTGAAGAGAGGTGCCCATTTACTAGAACACATAGACTTTCCGTTTAATGTGGAAAATGTCAATACAATCCAAGAGGGGAGAGTATCAATCTTTTCTTCAAGATTCTAGTGTTTTTATGTGTTGAGATCGAAATAAAAATTTCAATGTCTTTTGAATCACTCAAATCAAATCATAGTTCAAATTGAGAAGTTATGACAGAAAACAAAATTAATGTTTCGTTCTTATGTCTTCGCCTCGTTTACAATTCAGAGAATTTCTTCTGGTCAGAACGTGCTTCAACCAACGTTCACAAGTTCGGTCATGGTTCCTACTTTAATCATTCACATGTCATGCCAACTTAGTCATCAAGTTTCTCAAGCGGGTTCCTTGCCTTTTGGTCCCTTCCTCTTCCAAACGAGGAAAGGCTTCACCTATACACTTCTTTTTCTAAAACGTAAATCTTATCTTTTATTTGTTTTCCAAATTTGTCAATGACAATGTCCTTTAATTCTCTCCTTTCTTTCTCATCACCCACTAATTTTCTCCCCCTCAAAGCTCTCTCTTTCTCTCTTTCTCATGAATCCTGCCATACGTTTGACTTTCTTTTCTTTCCATTAAAAAAAGAAGGCCAAACCTTTAGCCACATATCACTTAACCCAACACATGCACCCTCAGCCACACATTCTAGATTTTACAGTTGAGACTTGGATATGAAAAGATTTGTACTTACATATATCTCATTGGGGCTTCTAGTGCATTTGAAGTGTTCTAAAGAAACATTGAACATTAAAACAAAAGGGGATTGTAAGAGTGGAAGTTGCTTGAGTAACAAGGCAGGAGGTTGCTTCATTTGGTCATCCAGATCACACACCTAAGGCATTGCCCTTCACTTAGCAAATTGAAAGCCTTGTTGATTTCTTCAAAGCCAACCTCGTGTGAGATAAATAAATCCAATTGTAGTTTCTGCCAGGTTTTACATATTCTAGAATACATAAAATTGCACCATGCAAAGAATTTTGCATAAAAAAAAAGGTGGAAGATAGTTGAGGTACTATTACTTATATTTTGACCACATCTTTTTTTATTTCACATTTATTTTATGGGTTTCATTACAAAACTTGATCTCTATAATAATTAGTTCCCTTAATTTGGACTCGACTTTACTTGATTTCTATCGTTTTAAAAGTTTAATTCGGTTCTTAATTTAACAAATGAGATTATAGCACTTGATAGTTAGATTAGGTAGCAATAAATGATAAATGTTGATGCAATATTATGAACACACAAGATAAAGAGGAAAAGGTGGGGCAAAGTTACCTTATCTAGGTACCATTGAATGAGTGTGGGAATGTCTGATTTGGGCTTCAGTCCACCATATATGCATCCTATCACCGTTTTCCCTTGAGAAATAACATCTATAGATTTGAGACCCAAAACTGAAACTGAGTCCTCCACACCAAATAAAATTGTTTTCCCCCGACCCTAAAGTCATTAACGCAAAAGAAATTAATCTTAACTATTAGTTAGAAAAGACAAATAAATGATTATTAAGCTAACATGACTAAGTGTGAATAAATCAATTTGGTTAAGTCTGAGGGTTAAATTTCTACTCTCACATTGTTAAACTAAAAAATCACTGAAAACCAACTATAGTGATCCATGGAAGAGAACGATTACCTTTCTGCAACATGCAAATGCTTCCTTGATTAAGGAACTTTGTCCAACGCATTCAAAGCAATAGTCTGCACCTCCGTCCGTCATCTCGATAATTACCTGCACATCAAATCAATGTTGAATTTGAAAGTTTTAACAACTGCAATAACCTCCACAGGTTAAACTCCTTTCTCTGTCTCTCTTTTGGAGCTTTGGAGGGTGATCTAATGTTAAGGAAGATGATGCACAATACTCGAGATTGAACCACAGGAGAGATTGAGCCAATATAAGAGGGTTCATATCAGGTTATTAGAGTACTCTGACTTGACGCATGTGCTTTGGCCAACCGGGAAGGAAAACTACTCCATCATCCATCAGATGCAAAGTGTCGCAACCGTACAAAGAAGAGAGTAGGTTGTGATCCCCATGTGTACATCCGCCCACATGAGGACTGAGTCAAAAGGTGACATGCGAGTGACGCCCATCTGACCACATAAAGGCCGAGACAGACAAGTGTCGTGATGCGATTAAGGAGGACGGTGTATCATCTAACACCAAGAAGAGACTGCATTAAAGCTAATTTGAGACATAAACAAGATTGGAGGCAACAATAGCGACGAGAGTGTCAAAGACGGGCTCGAAGAGGATCGAATAGAGCCCTAGACCATAACCTAAAAAATCAGATTTTTTACTTGAGTTTCGATATGCGACTCTAGAGTTAAATCGTCTATATGAAAGATGAAATCTCACCAAATCTGGTGTCAATCAGACACCCGATGAACACTCCACGAGGCCGTATGACCATTCGCCAAAATCACGTCTACTTCAACCAAACAAAAAATGCCTCAGAATGTAATATAGGGGAAGGCTTGGTGTCAACTCTCCATCACCCCTAGGTCCTATGGCCTAAGTGAGCTATCTCATGGCACATACATGTGTCATGATGTGGACTGGACGAGCATTGCAAGACGAGCATCTTAGGCATCTTCCTTTGGAGTGCATTTTTTCAGGACAGTGTCAGACAACACAGGTGTGCTGACATTGCATCCCTACCCTTGAGTCGGAGGTCGGTATATGTGGCTGCTTCGGTACATATCCGTAAATGACTCGGCATGGACACAGGAGGGTTCCTGCCTCGATAGTACTTGAATGGATGGATGTCCGAGGTGTTTTGATGATAAAGTTGATTCATGAGTCAATTCTCGATAAGCATACTCAAGCGAGCAGCAAAGGCTAATGACGTCTTGAAACTTGGGATGACATCATGAAGCGTGGGCCGTGTTGCTGAAAATCATGATGACGAGATGAGATGCAACATGGAATGTAAAAGACTTTGGCCTAGAGTAGAGGCAATGTCGATCCGCATGACTTGACCCAGGATAGAGGCAAGTCAGCTAAAGTCACAAGCAAGTGAACATCACTCACAAGCAGTGTGGATGGCCGAACAAGTTTAGT